AACAAAAAACTGGCTATCTTAAAATTATGATCTATCCGTGTGTGCATATACTACCTATATGTATAGTATGTATTTCGAAGAAAAAGATGGACAATATGCTACGCACTTCGATTGGACTAGCCGTAATGTGGCCGTAATATAAAAGTATTTACAAGTTTAAAATATTTGTCCAAGTTAATTGAAGTCTGAAAACACTTTAGAGCTCTGATATCTGCTCAGTTGGTATTAACCTGCCAAAGTTCATTTCAATCTTTTGTGCGCGCATCTCTGAGGCACATGCTGCGCCATTCCAAGCGTGCCACATTCATTATTCAATGGGTTGCGACCATTGTTCTTGTTGTTGCTGTTGTTGTATTTGTTGTTGCTGTTATCCACGTGAACACGGGTTGTTCTAATTAATTTATATTTAATTGTTAGCCCCAGCGCTGTTCTGAACAGCTTCGCTCTCCCGTTCTCCCTATTGTGTCTCAAAGCTGTGGGTTACTTTTGTGTTTTATCTTTTCGATGTTATTGTTTGCGGCATGCCCAGCTCCTGCTCTGTCCGTCCGCCCGTGTGTCCTTTTGTCGACTCCACCAGACTGTCTATCTACTTGCCCATTTTTTTTTAAAATCATTTTGCTTTGCTTTCATTAAGACAGCATTCTCTTTAAAAATAAAAGAAAACAGTATGTAAGGCGGCCGCAGCTGTTTTGTTATTAATTGCAGGAATTGTTGCCAATTTTGAGGTTAGTTTCTGTTGCTTCAAAAAAATGTGCAGACTTGCACAAACTTTGAGATACTGTGGCGCTAGATACATTTTGTTGTTGCTATTGTTGCTGTTCCTTTCGATAGCTACGACTGCTGCCAAGCTGGAGGCGAAAAATCGAAAGGGTGTACAAAAATTATCACTCACGCGCATCTTTAAAATTATTTGACGCAGCAAAGGCAGGCGCTGACGCCAACTACAACAGCAACAACAAGAACAACAACTAACACGATAACAGCAAAAGCAACAAAAAAAACCAAGCCACTTGGAACAACTTGCTCTTTCATTATCGGCACGTCATTACTGTCGCTTGTTGTAGTTGCTGTTGTTGCTGTTGTTGGTGTTGTTGCTTTTAACAACATCGTCATCAAATCGCTGGTTGCTGACGTTGTTGCTGTTTCTGTTTCTGTTGCCGTTGCCGCCATCGCCGATGTGGACGTTTAGTTTGCCCTTTAACTAGCATTTGGGCTTCGGCATCGCATCGTTTGCCTTTTGCTTGCGGCCTCTCTCTGTATTTTTGTTTTGTTTCTGTTTTTTTTTTTTGGCTGAGCGCTGCGCTCAAGATGAACATTGATTAAATTCTTGGAATTGAAAAATCTTCCTCCTCTCATTCCTCTGCTTAACAACCAGCCGGGCAGCACAGCAGCAGAAGCAACAGCAAGTTGTTGTACAACAATAAGTTTATTGTTGCTTGATATTCCACTGTTTGTTGTTATTGTTGTTAAAAAGCTTAGCTAAGCTGCCGTTTTGTACTAACCATGCATGCATGTACATCTATGTATGTACATATGTACGTCTATACATAGGTGAGTAGTTTCGGGTCGTTGTTGTATCAACATTAATGATGCAGCAAATGTTTGGTTGCAGCAGCAGCACCAAGAACAACAATGACCGCCGTCTATGTTTGTTGTTGCTGCTTCAACGTTACAAAAGGTGAAGGGGAATCTCTGTGCTTGCCACTTCAAAGGCTAAGCAACGCAAAGCAGTTGCCAGCAACACCAAGAACGATATCAACGACTACAGTAGAAAAAACTTCGAGGAAGTTGGAGCTTCAAAAAAAATATTAAATAAATCATTTTTTAAGAAATCACTCTCAATAAAACAATTTTTCTGTTGATAAGCATTTATCAAAATGGGTGCACTATTTAAGTGGCATAGGAACGCTTGAGTCTATTTTATTAAAACTACTATGACGAAGAAGGATTCTGTTCTTTTTTTGATTTTTAAAAACTTTTGTTTTGAATATTGCTTTAACCCAAGCTGAAAGGTTTTTTGAAGCAGTTATATTCTTTAACTTATTATCAGAACGAATAAAATTAAATTTAATATTAAATTAATTAAATTTAAATTAATAATAAGTAGTGTGAAAAATCAACTTGTTTGAAAATTTAGAATGCGTATGAACTTAGGAAAGTACGCATCTAGATCGAAAAATTAAATGTTACCAATTGAAGAATTTATTTTATTCTCCTGTAGCTGTGTACTCATACTATATACATACATATATGCAATGTTTCTTTTAACTGAAAACTGTTGTTAACAGCATTGCCGCAGAATCCCAAATAAACGGTAAAGTTTATTTTACTTCTGTTTGTAAGAGAATATTGTTTTTATAGTTTTACACGATTTATAGCCATAATAGACATAACAAAGGGAAGAACAGCAGCTGCATTCCCAGCAATCATAAGTTACAAAAAAATTATATGCCTGAGAAGGTTCTCCCATCACTAACTTCAGCATCATTTTCATCTCCAGCATCACGGTTGTCGTCTTCGATTTCGATTTTCTAGCTGGCATTCTACACAATGGCCTCAAGGTTCTGGTGGTTTTTGTTGCAACTGCTATTGTTGCTGTAACCACCAATGTTATTGTTGTTGTTGTTGTTGGCGTTACAAGCAATCTGCGCAATGTGTGTCTGTTAAGCTGAAAAATAAGACTGTTCAGTTTCGTTGGCATTTAAGCCATGCCCACAACAAAGTAAGAAGCAATGTGAAGCACTCAGTGCTTCTCAAACTGTAAAACATGAAGGCGACATTTTAGAGAATGCCCGACTGTGCTTCTCCAACTGCAACACCAATATGATGCAAATATTGATGTTGCTGTTGCAGTTGCTTGGCATAATGATTTGGGGCAACCAAGCAAGCATTTTTCTCATCATCAGCTGTGTCATTTCTTCATCATCGTCATCATCATGATAATCTTTATTGTCATCAGCGCTGGCGGCGGCAAATGCAACTCACGAAGGCATTCAAAAGCAATTAAGCGCTTTCTTTGGAGTTAAAGCAGCACTCGAACATGAACACACACACACACACACACATGTGAACATGCGCACACACACGCAGACAAACTTGATTTGAAAACGTAATATCATCAATCAAGAAACAAAAACGAAAAAAGAATGAAAAGCCAAAAAACAAAAAAAAACGTTGCAACTGAGCATGCGTGTCAAGCCTATAGCACGAGTATGTATGTAATAGAGATGGTAGCGTGACTTCATTTGCAGTCACGCAAGCTTAAAAGCTGCAAAGAAATAAACAACCAGTTCAAGATTTCGCTTTTTCTCAATTCTTTCAATTAAAGTGAAGCTTCCTACTATATTTTATATACTATATTTTATATTTCTATATTTTTCTTGTTGTTGGTTACATCTATAGGTGTCTCTTATGACTTCTGTGATAGGGGTTTAACTAGCGGATGGCAATTGAAAATGTTGTTTATAACAATTCCCAAAAAAGTTGTAGATATAGAACACGACAGTGAATTAAGCTGAGTTAATCGGATACTATTGGACGCATTCTTCTGTCGAAAATTGTATACCCTGTACACAAAGGGGATACCCTATCAGCCTTACTAGTTTTTAAATAAATAACAAAAATGTTAACAAAACTATTCTACTACTTCGGAAACGCTTATTAGAGGTAAACTATATAGTACTTCCCGAAATCTCTAGCCTTGAATTCAACGGAAAAAGTGGTTTGCAAAACGCAGATAAAATTCGATGGCATCTCATATTTCTCTCATTTCTTTATATCTGCATTTACAGAAAACTGGTAAGTCAGAGTTCGGAAATTAAAGTTGCCCACAAAATAAACATATTTATTTAACATGTGGATTTATCTACATATATCTACGAATATTTAGGATATCTGAAATTTTTAATTAAGTCTCAGATTCAAAATGATGCTGATATAATAGACCTGTTGCCAGATATTCATATGCGTTTTTCGAAATTTTAAATGAAATTCTCGAAATTCCTTTCACAATCATGATCACTGATCAGTGATCACGTCCATCTCTACTACGCATAATTATGGATTTCTGTATGTTGTGTGCAGCAAACTACAACAACAACAACAATAGCAACAACAACACAAATTTTAACTTGATTATGCCATGGCAACATACTATAGGCTGCCACAGGCTGCTTGTCTACCAGCAGCAACAAAAACAAAACAACAAGAAAACAAATTTTTATCGCATGTATTAAAAAAAACTGCAAAGGAAAGACGAAGCGCTGTAATCATATTAAGCTTTATGCTGCCTTATTTTTGTGGCGTTGCTGTGGTTGTGTCTTGCGTTGTTGTTGTTGCGGCTGCCCAAACCTTGAGCTGGGCTCCAGCAGCCGCAACAGGTTATTGCAACCGTTGCTTGCAAGTTGCAAGAACTCTAATCAATTTTTCAGACTTTTTGCATTGCTCATTTTTTATTGCAGTTGTTGTGGAATTATAAGAACTATGGTTGCTATGTTATGAAGTACTTCTCTAGGCACATAAACATAATCCACTATTTTCGCAAACCCGATAGCTTGGCGATTTATTTCCAGAGATTACGTTTTTGCACGAAAGCACAAAATCATTTCTAAAAGGTCAGCATACGAGTAAAATCTTGAAAGTTTGCCAAAAAAGGCTTCATTTCAGTTCAGTTTGTTCGTGATAATAAATCGATAACGCAAGAAAACTTAAATATTAAGCTAATTTTTTGGAGAGAATATCGAAGTACTGCATTAATGCATTGTTAATCCTTATATCCGATATACTTGTATGTAAGTTCTGCTACATACTAGAATGTTTTCTTACTCGAAATACTTGCAAGCTATAAATCAACATTCTTAACAGATCTCAGAACTAATGTTTTGGGAGTATAAGCCCGAACTCACTGGGAATGTAACTGAAATGTTGTTGATATATTTATAATGTGGTAGCATAATCAGATAATTGCGATTGCAAATGTATTTTACTTTGGTTCGGCTTACCTTGTATTTGAATTAAATTACTGATGAAATTGAATGCTGATGAGTAAAGTCAATTTTGAACTCTTGCATGGAACTGCTGATTGGCTGAAATGAGAAAACATATATGAAAACAAATAAGAAAATAACCATTATTTGTTTAAGGTCGTGGCTTCAAAACACAAACTAGAATTGTATCTATAATACAATTTTTTGAGGATGGAACGATTTGAGCTGAGTTTATGTTGCTTGGGAATTGTGGTTATAATTGACAAAAATACATACAAATAATGTGGCAATTAATAAGATATATTAAATTTAATAAACTACTGCACAGGGACGACTTTAACAGCTCGTCTTAGCCTAAACTCTGATTTTATTAAAGAAACTTCACTTTTTACAAAAATCGGGGCTTGATTTCTATTATCAAAATGTTATGTTTACACAGAATGCTTTTCTTGCTATTAAGTGCAGTTAAGTGGCGTTTTAGTAAGTATTTTTTTTATTTATTTAGTTCTTGAGCTCGCTTAAAGTTAAAACTGTAAGCTAACATGGAGTTTGTAGCCTGGCTGCCAGGGCCCTAAGCTATATTAATTTGTGAACTAAGTAAGTTTCATTATTTGAACGCTAGACTCTCAATAAATTTCAAAGTCATCCATATATGTATGTACACATATGGTAGATAGGTATGTTTACGGCAATGATTGGTTCATTAAGTCAAGTAAAAATATATGCGGGGGGCTTAAATGGACCAATTATGCAGACAACATGCAAATGAGAAATGACTAGCGAGAGGTGCAAAGCCCTATAATTTGAGTATGTGTTTAATTCACCATTTATATAAAAAATATCAAAAACAACACACTACTTTATTTACTAAAAGCACACATTTGTGCACTAATAAAATAAATCTTCATACATTTTAAATAAAAAATATCAATAACCAGTTGCTGTTTTTAAAGAAATACTTCTCTAATAAGTTAGTTTCTTAAAATTTATATCGGACTTTAGGCAATTGTTTCGATTGCAACGTATTAGCAAGCTTAGCAAGTTGTTAACCATCTTGTAGTAAATGGTTCTACTTAGTTTTGAATTTGCACGATTAGCTAAATAAGATTGGTTTGATGTTTGATGTATTGTGTTAGGCGAATAAATCGTGTTAATGTGTGTTAATGTACATCTAGTAAGTAATGTATTCAAATAAAATCTGAAGTATATTACTTATGTATAAGCACCTATGTACATAATGCACTTTAGCAAGTTTAAATCAAATTTAATTTGCTGGCGCACGTTCCAAAGAGACGTTGGGGAAATCGACGTCAAGGGAGAGGGGGAGGGAAGGGAAGGAGGAGGGCTGCAGCTTGGGCTAAGCGCGCTGCCACCGACGCTGAACTGAGCAATTAAGTGCATGCAAGGTTCATCGAAGAGCAACGCCACTGTTGGGGTTATTGTTGTTGTTGGTTTTGCTGCTGTGACTTTGCATTTTAGTTCTGCCCTTCGATAGTCGTGCACCCCTCGTTTCGCGTTTTTTCGCGTTTTTATTTTGCTTTTTATTTTTATTATTATACGCTCTGGTATACAGTGAAAATTTGTCCTAAGGGTTTGTGCCACTCTTATACCCCTCATCCCCCTTTTTCTTATGATCGAAATCTATATATGTATCCTTGCATATGACTTTTAAATACATTATGTACCTGACGACGATTGTTAAGCAATGCCCCGACTCTTAGCCAACTTTCATCAGAGCAATTTTGGATTAAATAGTAATTAGAAGAGGAAACTTTATGCTACTTAAATGTGCATTATACTACTTAAGGAAAAAGGGAAATATTGGCAGACTGCAGTGAAATTTCGTACAGCCGATTGCGGTTAAAGTTTGGATCAGAGGAAAAGCGTTAGATCTAAAAAAGGAGAGCTTAGGTGAAAAAAAAACATACTTGAAACTTAAGACATGAAAAACTATGACAAGGACTACCGTTGGGTTATCCTGCTGTTCAGAGCATTCGATTCGAATTTAATGGGATTTAATATAAGAAAAGTTGTTTATAAAAGAAATCCAATTTATAAACAAGAAATGACTTGTAGAGTCGAACGGGCTCAACTTATGAATACCATGTACTAACTCACACAGCAAGTTAGCAGAAGCGTGAGCTGTTTTATCATATAGAAATGATCAAAGGCATTTGGACTTTAAATGCATCGAAAAAAAGAAACTCTCTTTGGGCTGAAGTTAAGGAGTCCTGGAACTGGATCCCTAACGAAAATAGCAAGGGCTTGGTAAATTCAATGCGGAGACTGCGGGCGGGGCGTATGATTGCAAAAGAAGTAATATTATTTACTGAAATATTTAAAAATAATCTAGATATTTCATTAAAGACTGTTTACTATTTGATTACTTTTCAATTGAACAGTGGGGCTATTTTCCTGAACATTTCCCTTAAAGTCTATATATCTTTAAAAGCTTGTCAATTATATTTTACTAGCGTCGTGCTCCTGCTTCGCACGGGTATTTTTACAAAAATTTAAAAAATTATACATTTTATAATACACACACACTTAGCACACATACACCCTTCTTTTTGCTATGAGTAACTATGAAGGAGTAAAATTTATTTTGGATGTTATTATTTTAATGATTTTTTGTTCGTTTTCAGATTTTTTGCTATTCTTTATTAGGTCAGAGGTTCTCTGTAAAAGATATTTGATGTTTTATTTTGTGGTAGCAAAATAAATTGATTTTCAGGAGCTCCGACCCGTGATAGGTCAACATACCGTAAAACATTGCTTTCGTATGTCGATCCCTACTAATTCGAAGGCTTGGCCTTGGGGCTACCGGAGATTGAAGCTAGCCATATAAATGATCGAATGGGATCATCGGCTTCCTCGGTATCCTCGTTATATGAGCTAGTTGACCAGTTGCTGGGCCGTTGATAATAGTTGCTACACTTAAATTGTCCTGCCTCGTCCCATTGCACATGCTCGGAAGGCTTTAATTTCTCAAAAGCACGATTGCAATTCCGAATTTCACCGTCAATTCATGTGGCGGCAGTCCAGAAGGGTTTAGTGCATTTAAGTATCTTGAATATGAATCACGCTGTCGATCGATTTGTAATTTTTTTTGGCTGGGGGCTTTTGATTAATATTGCCTCAATATTTAAAGTGAAAATGTTTCGAAGATGATTATGAACTGAAATGTAATATAGCCCATGTTCACCGTCGATAGTGTAGCTTCCCAACAGTGAAAGAATCCATTAAATCGGTCCAGTAAATTCGGAGCCTTTTCAATTCAAACAAACAAACAATCAAATCTTTCCTCTTTATAATATTAGTATAGATAATGGGTGATTTCTTTTGATTGGATTGGAATGCTGTATGCCAGATTAAAACACCCTTCCATAATAGTGGTAATTTTTTCACCGCAACTCTTTTTGTATAGTCAAGTACCACTGTACAGCTACAGAGTCCAGGGACTTGGACAAGAACCTACACATGTGCATTTAATTGCCGACCATGTACCAAGTGTGCTTTTGTGTGCGTGCGTGTGCGTGTGCTATTATAAATTTTGTGTCGGCCATAAATTGCTTTTGCCTGTACTTTAAAAGGCCTACTGCGAAAAGTCGCAACGTTGTCGCTAAAGCAAGAAAAACAAAGCGAAAGCGAGGCGAAAAGCTATTAAAAATTTTCGCTGCTACATTTGCAGTTATATAGCGTGCATTTGTATGTAAATGTGTGCGCGTGTGTGTGTGTGGATGTGTTGAGGCGAAGTTTTCATAGGTCGTTGGCATTAACTTTACCTAAGAGGCAAAATGCAAAGCACCGTTAAATGTATTTTAATTACTCGAGTGAATTTACGAGCATGCAGCAAGTACAACAACAAAAGCGACGGCAAACAATGTGAGCAAGAAGCTAAGAAAATTAAAAATACAGAAAAAATCATAATAATTAACGAGTATATGTACATATGTGCGCAATTAAATAAAATAAATGATGTGCTAGTAGTAGCCAGTGTTGAGGAAAAACTAAAAAAGCAGCTGCCTTGGCACCAAGGAACGTACTTACATACATATACATATGTATGTATGTATGTATGTATGTACCTTTTAAGCAAATAATTATAATGAAAATGATGAGGGGAACATTTTCCAACTGCAAGAGGAGTGGCAAATATATGTACATAATATATACATACATATGTATGTATGTATGTGCAGCTTTCCAAGCTCAAACAAAAAACCACACACACATACACATACACACCTACACGTCTAGAAACACCGCGCAACGTGACAGTTAATTAATTTTATTTAATTGAGAGCCCATTGTGTGACAAACAACCGGACGCAAACAACACAGCCAAGTCTACACACATGCATACATATGTACATACATATATACATACATATGTATGCGATATAAAAACTATAATTAATATTTAGTTTATATGCTGTCGGCGTCAGCGTCGGCGCAGACGGCGAACACCATCAAAGGTTAACCATTTAATTGGCGTGGGTAAAATGTCAATAAAGGCGCCAAAATATCGGCCGTGCAAGTGTGTGAGTGCCTTGTGTGTGACTGTTCATTTAAATTGGGTCACACAGAAATGAAAGCTAAGCACAAAGCGCGACAGCCAGACAGACGGACGGACGGACAAACTACGAAACAAACAGCAAAGCTAACGAAAAATAAAATTATTGTAACATTTAAATTTCAAATCAGTTAGAAAAAAATGCATAGCAGTCGCCGAATGCGAGGGCGGACGAAAGCGAAACAGAGCAAGGCAAAAACAGAGGCAGAGAGAAGCAAAAACAAGGGGAGGAAATAAAGTCAGCGCAATTTACAACGGGCATAAGAAAAATGTCGAAAAGCGAAGCGAAAGAAAACACACACACACACAGAAAGCGCCAAATAAATCAAAATTAAGTGGCGACAAAATTAAAGTAAAATGTTTACCGTGCGGCTTAGCTTGCTTGAAGAGACACAGAGCAGAGACTGGCTAAGGAATGAGTTACAGAGTGACAGACAGACAGACAGACAGGCAGGAGAGCGAAGGGAATGCGAGATAGCAAGCGATTGAGCACGCAAATGCTGGTGAGGTGCAGAAAAGACAA